AGGCTAGAGTGAGGCCGTGGCGTCAGCCGTAGCCACAGGGAACTTCAAACTCCTTGCCGAGTGATCCTTCTGCCTCAGCTTACCCGGTAGGCTGCGGCACTACAGCATTCGCCACCCATGCGCCGCTTAATTTTTTATGTTATATATCAGTTGGCCAATTGAATTAATTTTCGTTTCGGTATTTCAAGTAGAGACGGGGTTCACTCTTGCTCAGGCTGGTTTCGAACTCCTGACGTTGAGCAATCCGCCCGCCTCGGCCTCCCAAGAGCTAGGATTACAGGCGTGAGCCACAGCGCCCGGCCAATCACAAAATTTTTGAAAATTATATAGTACCTGATGTGTAGCATATGTTATTATTTTATTACTACCATTATGAACTGTCAATGGTATAAAACAGAAACAAGACAAACTAGGACAAAATTAAAGAGTTTGAGTGGGAAAGGGTCTAGAGATATTCCTGAAGAAATTAAGTGTTCTTCTGGAAAGTTAACTGGGGTTTGGTGTTGTAGGGATTTAAGCACCCTGAGCCAGTCTTGTGTATCCAGTGGGAACCTTTCCTCATCCTGAGCCTTAAAGGAAATTCTATAACATATGCTGGAAATATTTAAAAGAAAAAAACATTCCAAACTCTCTGAAGACAAAGTTGGATGGAATAAACATACTTGGACCCCTCCCCCTTTCCATATAAATTCCTCTAATAGCTTGTGAGTTATAAGTGTAGTGGGACATGAAAATTTTTCTGATTCAATAAATTAATTATAAAAGTATATGATTGATATGAATGGAAACCATCCTAATTACGTGATGATGAGAAATGCATGAAGGATAATGCATGACAAGTGTACCCTGTCTTATAAGGGTACACTTATAAGGTTGTACATTATAAGGTTGTATTTCTGTTGAGAGATTTAAGCAATTCATGCTTTTTATTTAGAAGATATTAAAAAGCCCCAAGGTAGAAATACAGCTGTACCTTCATGCATTTCCCTTGAATTATCTTGTATAGTATATTTTATAGATTTTTAAGGTGGATAATATGTATTATGTTGAACTGCAATATTTGCCTGAATGAGATAATTACATTAGCACATTGAGTATCATAAATGCTCTTTTTAAAGTGAGATGAGGGCCTTGAATGTCGCCCAGACGCTCCATTCTTTGTCTGTCCCTCTGATGGTGCTGCTGTAACCTTGAAATTTGACTGAAATGTATTGGCTAAATTCACCCTGATTCATGTACGCCTATTAGATAATCCAGATGTTCCTATATACTAGGTAGCTTATTTAGAAACAATAAAGAGTCCAATGAAGAACAAAAGAATAATTGTGTGTATATATCTATATAATGAGTGTGTGTGCATGCATATGTACAGAAAGATAGAACTGAATATTTTAAGTAGCAAATATGCTATGATATCAAAGCATTATTTACAATGACATTTTTCTTTTATACACCTTCATATATCTGCTTCACCTCTTTCATTTCAAATTTTAGATATGCACTAAATGATCTAGAAATTCAGGATAATTTGTCTAAGCATAAAAGAATAAATTTAGAATGCGTATGAAAGTTGGCTTTCAGCATATATGCAACGCTTATTATTCAAAGGACTAAAAAAATAATAATTAACCTTGATTTTTAAAGGCAAAACGTCATATAAATAATGAGAGACAAAATAATTGTATGATCTTTTGAAATCGATTCCAGTAGAACCAGCTCTATAAAGTAAACGATGAAAACAATGATATAGGAGGGTCAGGCCAAAAATGATTGGCATTTTTTTATGATTAAGTTTCATGGTAATTCTGAGAAAATTTTAGATTAAAGGTGAGAAACCCAGAGAAATTAAAACAGTTTCATCCTCTATGGATCTTCATTAAATGAGCCTCAAAAAAGATCTCTGAATCTATTCACCGCCAGGTTCAACATGTCTGGTTGAACTTGGTAGAAAAGAGAAACTTTGTTGAAATTTAGTAGAAAAGAAATGGGCACATGCTAAAAACAATGATTTGGAGTTGGCCGTTGTTGAATTCAATACTCAACTCGGACCTTACTAGCTGGTACCGCATTTACAAAAGAATCTATACCTCTCTTCACAGGAATTGTCCTTCTATATAAAATTAGGCATAAATAAAATAGCTTTAAAAAATAATTGAGTGAGATAAAACATTAAATAACTGTTACAGTTATTTGCCTCTAAAATTAGTTAAAAATTAAAGGCAAGAGCAAGAAGAAAAATGTTTGCTTTAATCCACTGTATACTCTTCACAGTAATGTACACTTTTAACAACAAACAAGAACAAACGCCTATGTGATGGATTAGATGCAATCATCTCCTTCCTCAGAGGCTACCTCCAGTTAGTATCCGTTAACTGTCACAGCACTCTTCTTTCTTAGGACAGATAAGTCTTGTAATGGGGATAATAATATTACCCTTCCTTGCAATGGGGTGCTGTCCAGTGGTACTGAGTGCTTCCTGTGTGGGTTAGGCACACTCTAGCATACAGTGGGAATTGCCTTAGAGTTAGGCACTGCACAATCCATGGAATGTTGCATGACATTCCATTTGTTGGCTGATCTACCCCAGAAACGCTATTTGTTTTAGGGAAACAAGACACTACAGTCATGTCCAAGACATTTTCTGCACAAAGTAGGATTTCAAAACTATAGTGCACCCGTATGATGAAGGCTTAGTCTCTAGCACTTTTTCTTCTGTTCCTGTCAGCTAGACCAATAGAACCTGATTCGCTCACAGCGTCTATTTCCATAAGATTGATATATTAGAAAACTGGGTTTTAATTGATTACCATATTTTTCCCTAGAACCTACTCAGATAGAAATGGGAATGTATTTTTTATTGCTTAAGATAGGGACAGGATAGGCCAGGCACGAAGTGGCTCACACCTGTAATGTCCTAACACTCTGGGAGGCCAGGTGACGAGATAGCTCGACAGCTCAGAGTTCAAGACACCTGAGCAAGAGTGAGGACCCTGTCTCCTACTAAAATGAAATAAAGAACTGACAACTAAAAATATATACGAAAAAATTTTAGCGGCATGTTGGTGCATGCCTGTAGTCCCAGCTTACTACAGGAGGCTGAGCAGAAGACTGCTTAAGCCGCAGGAGTTTGAGGTCGCTCGTGAGCTAGACTAACACCAGGTGGCCAATCTGGACCAGGCAACAGAGCCAGACTTTGTCTCCAAAGGAGAGAGAGAAGAGAACGAGAGAGTCGAGAGAGAGAGAGTAGAGAGAGATGATACAAAAGTTTAGTCCAGCACTGGAATATGCTAAGTGCTTGCTTCATTTTTTGATGGGGTCTGTCTACTGTTGCCTGAATTAGGTCTATTATACCTTTTGTTATTATTAACCTTAGGGCAGTGAGTGACACGTTCGATTATTCTTGTTTATTGTATCATCAGGTGGTGGAATAATCAGTCCCTTCCCTTCCCTTCCCTTCCCTTCCCTTCCCTTCCCTTTCCTTCTCTCTCTCACCAGAATAAGCTTGGAATGAGTGTTTGTGCAATTGTCATCAAACTCTAGTGTAAACACTGAAGACTCAGAGACTCAGCCACCACCATTTGTGAGCTGATTACATGCTACTGAGATAGGGTGTTGTTGCTGAAGCTTGAGGCAGCTGCAGATGGGCGCATCAGCAGGCATGCCTGGCCCTCTCATGCTGTTGTAGCTACTGTCTTCTCAACTACTAGTGCTGATTCTCCACAGCCTGGTCATGCTCAAGGCAAATCCTCCTTGCTCCATATGGCTTGTTCTGGGTCTCAGGCACATCTCCTGTTGACAGGGAAAACCCCCCACCCCCGGGCCCCATAGCTGAACTCACTACTGATTGGATACTTTTTGAATCCCACTGCTGATTGGATGTAAAACTTATTTCTGATTGGATGTAAATCTTGTTGCTGATTGGATATTAAAGCTTGTTGCTGATTGGATGCTTTTTGAATCCCATCGCTGATTGGGTAATTCCTCATGTTCATAGTTGATTGGTTGTGTGTAACTCCAAGAAGTGTATAAAACTGGAGGAGAATAAGGAAGCGGTGCTCAGAATTTGGTGGCATGCCCCTCTGAGCCCGCCACCGGAATAAAGGCTGATTCTCCGACTCTGTGTGCCACTCAGTTCTTTCCCTGGTCAGTCGCTGTTATCACTTGGTGTTACACTGGCTGTACACTTGCTGGAACACTGTCACTCTAGCTGGAGCTCTTCAGTGTCTGACATATGCAAAGGGCTGTCCTTAGCCTATGTCTTACAGAGAGGAACTCTGTTGCTGCTGCCACTGCAGCTAGTTTAACAGTTTCACAATTTGATGCTTGTCACTTTTTTTCTGCAAAAATTATCATGGAACAATAATATTGTTGCTCAATATCTAGAGGAGAAAAAAGAGGAGACCTGTTTCTCAGAGAGGCTTTAGATACTGTTGTCTCTTACCTCCATTATAGTACGATTCCATGAATGCAATTTTTTTCTTTTACTGTCATGTATACTTTATTTCCAAAGCACTCTCATAGTGCTAGAACACTAGAGTCAGAAGAAAGGATTCATTTCTGCCACATATTGAATTAAAAGTCCATGTCTTTACTCTTTTCATGATGAATACCTTCTTGAAGATACCAGCTTCCCTTAGACATTACCTCATTTCACCAGAGAGGTTCTCACAGAAAAAAAAGAAAAATGTACCATTTTCCCTTTTTCTCCAAGATAATGGTGCAAACTCCACTAACTTATCCCAAAGTCCTAAAAGGGGAGTTAACAAAGTTGTTTCCTTATGTCTTTTACTCAGAGCATTGGATACTTATTGCACTATAGTTTCATAGAGAGATCACTAGATTACTTCCCAACCAAAAAAAGAAAATATGCTCTAATGTGACTTCCAGACAAAGCTGTTTGGCATAGATATGGGCTGGCAACTTTTGAATAGCACTTTTGCTGGGAAAGAGAGAGAAGGCAAAAAGAGAGAGAATAAAAAGAATTCCATCTTAATAAATACCTTGCAGAAGGAAGGTGTTTAGTAACTTGGCTGCTATCTATTCAGACTTCTTATCAGGGAGATGCCTTCAGGAGAAAAGAAAAAAGCAGATAATCAGGTCTATGTCCTTGTCAGCAGTACTTCTGGGTAAATAAACTAATACTATGTGCTATAAGAAATGGCTTTTAACTACAGAATGGCCTTAGCAAGGTGTTTATGGTTGAATAATTACTTATAGTAAATAAGCCCGTAATATATGACACATGGCTCCCTTGGGAAAGTCTCTTAAACTATACAACTCTTCAGGTATGAAATGGAGATGCTTTTCTTCTTTTTAAACTTTTAGTTCACAGGTAATAATTGTACATATTTATGGGATACAGAGTAATATTTCAATACATGTATACAATGTATAATAATCAAATCGGGGTAATTAGCATAGCCATCATCTCAAACATTTTTCTTTGTGTTAGGAACATACAAAATCCTTTCGTCTAGCTTTTTGAAAATATACAATAAATTGCTGTTAACTATATTCACTGTACAGTGCTGCAGAACACGGGACTTTCTTCCTCCCATCTAGCTATAATTTTGTATCCATTAACCGACCTCTCCCTACCCTCCCTTTCCTAACCCTTCCCAGACCCTAATAACCACAATTCTACTCTCTACTTCTCTGAGCTCAACTGAATTTTTAGCTCCCACATTGGAGTGAGAACATGTGGTATTTATCTTTTTTGTACCTCACTTATTTCACTTCTAATATAATGTCCTCCAGGTTCATCCATGTTGCCATGAATGACGGGATAAAATGAAGACTTTTTGTAACTTAAATGCTCCCTGTTATAGAAGAAACCTTGGAAAACCTAAGAGAACTCTATTATTTCTGTGCCAGACAGTGTGTGTCTAACGTAAAAAGGAAGGGCCTGGGGAACCACCCTTGATGTCCCCAGACCTCCATTGCTTTGTCTGTCCCTCTTGATTGGTTGCCTGTATCCTTGAATTTATGACTGAAATTTGTATTTGGCAAATTCACTGATTCATGTGAGCCTGATTAGATAATCCAGATGTTCCTATATACTAGGTAGCTTATTTAGAAACATAAAGAGTCAATGAAAACAAAAGAAATTTGTGTGTATATATCTATATATATGTGTGTGTGTGCATGCATATGTACAGAAAGATAGAAACTGAATATTTTTAGTAGAAAAATGCTATGATTATCAAAGCATTATTTACAATGACATTTTTTCTTTTATACATTCATATATTCTGCTTCACTCTTTCATTCCAAATTTTAGATATGCACTAAATGATCTAGAATTCCAGGATAATTTGTCTAAGCATAAAAGAAATTAAATTTTAGAATGCTTATGAAAGTTGGCTTTCAGCTATATGACCTTATTTATTCAAGGACTAAAAAAATATATAACATTAACCTTGATTTTTAAAAAGGCAAAACGTCATATAAATATTTGAGACAAAAATATTTTGACTTATTTTGAAATGCCATTCCAGTAGAACCCAGGCTCTATAAAAGTAAACGATGATAACATGATATAGAGTAGGCTCAAAAAATGATTTTGGCATTTTTTTATTTGATTAAGTTTCATGTGATGATTCTGAGAAAACATTTAGTTAAAGGTGAGAAAGCCAGAGAAATTAAAACAGTTTCATCCTCTATGATCTTCATTAAGTGAGCTCAAAAAAATCTCTGAATTCTATTTCACGCATGGGTTCAACATGTGTGTTGAACTTTGGTAGAAAAGAGAAACTTTGTTGAAATTTAGTAGAAAAGAGAAAATGGGCAATGCCTAAAAACAATGACTTTGGAGTTGGGCGTTGTTGAATTCAAATCTCAACTCTGGACCTTACTAGCTGGGTACCATTTACAAAAGAATCTATTAACCTCTCTTCACAGAATTGTCTTCTCTATAAAATTAGCAATAATAAAATTAGCTTTAAAAAAATAATTGAGTGAGATAATACATTAAAATAACTGTTACAGTTATTTTGGCCTCTAAATTAGTTAAAAAATTAAAGGCAAGAGAAAATGTTTGGCTTTAATCCACTGTAAACTCTTCACAGTAATTGTACACTTTTAACAACAAAACAAGAACAAACGCCTATTGATGGATTATATGCAATAATCTCTCTTCCTCAAAGGCTACCTCCAGTTAGTATCTTAACTGGTCACAGCACTCTTTCTTAGGACAGATAAGTCTTGTAATGGGGATAATAATATTAACCTTCCTTGCAATGGGGGTGCTGTCAGTGGTACTGAGTGCTCCTGTGTGGGTTAGGCACACTCTAGCTTACAGTGTGAATTGCCTAGAGTTAGGCACTGCACAATCCATGGAATGTTGCATGACATTCCATTGTTGCTGATTCCCCCCAAAACCTATTTGTTTTAGGGAAAGCCAAGACACTAAGTCATGTCTCAAGACATTTTCTGCACAAATAGGATTTCAAAACTATAGTGTCACCGTATGATGAAGGCTTAGTCTTCTAGCACTTTTTCTTCTGTTCCTGTCACTAGACAATAGACCTATTCCTCACAGGTCTATTTCCATTAAGATTGATATATTAGAAACTGGGTTTTAATTGATTTACATATTTTTCCCTAAGACCTACTCAATAGATAATGGGAATTTATTTTTATTGGCTTTAAGAATAGGGAATATAGGCCAGGCACAATGGCTCACACCTGTAATCCTAACACTCTGGGAGGCCAGGTGAGAGGATAGCTCGAAGTCAGGAGTTCAAGACCAGCCTGAGCAAGAGTGAGACCCTGTCTCTACTAAAAATAGAAATAAAGTAACTGGACAACTAAAAATATATAGAAAAAATTAGCGGGGCATGGTGGTGCATGCCTGTAGTCCCAGCTACTACAGAGGCTGAGGCAGAAGGATCGCTTAAGCCCAGGAGTTTGAGGTCGCTGTGAGCTAGACTAACACCATGGCAATCTGGACCAGGCAACAGAGCCAGACTTTGTCTCCAAAGAGAGAGAGAGAGAGAGAGAGAGAGAGTGAGAGAGATACAAAATTTAGTCACACTAGAACTACTAAAAGTCTTGCTTTCCTTGTCTATTTGCCTGAATTAGGTTGCTATTATACTTTTGTTATTATTAACCTTAGGGCCAGTGAGTGAACTTCGTATTATTCTTGTTTACTTGTATCTCAGTGTGGAATAATCACAAATTTTTTTTTTTTTTTTTGAGACAGAGTCTCGCTTTGTTGCCCAGGCTAGAGTGAGTGCCGTGGCGTCAGCCTAGCTCACAGCAACCTCAAACTCCTGGGCTCGAGTGATCCTTCTGCCTCAGCCTCCCGGGTAGCTGGGACTACAGGCATGCGCCACCATGCCCGGCTAATTTTTTATATATATATCAGTTGGCCAATTAATTTCTTTCTATTTATAGTAGAGACGGGGTCTCACTCTTGCTCAGGCTGGTTTCGAACTCCTGACGTTGAGCAATCCGCCCGCCTCGGCCTCCCAAGAGCTAGGATTACAGGCGTGAGCCACAGCGCCCGGCCAATCACAAAATTTTTGAAAATTATATAGTACCTGATGTGTAGCATATGTTATTATTTTATTACTACCATTATGAACTGTCAATGGTATAAAACAGAAACAAGACAAACTAGGACAAAATTAAAGAGTTTGAGTGGGAAAGGGTCTAGAGA